CTCTCCATTGCCAAGTTGAACCTATCTGCTTCTTAGCAAATTTGCTGTACCATTTGAATCGCCACAAATTTACCTTGTCAGTATCACTGAAGAAGGCTTCGTTGATTGTTATCTTTTGGAAATCTTTCCCAGGCCTCACACCAAGTGTTGTTTTGAGCTAGAAACAGCTGTTTATTGCAATTGCAAGCATTTATGCGGGAAAGTGATTGTCATGCAAACGATTGAGGTCATTTGTTTCTGCGAAAATAAGACGCAGTATGCCTTTTACAGCCGTTTAAAATTGAAATTAAAACAAATAAAACTGGGAAGAAACTATTCCGTAACAGATTTTCCAAATCTTTTAATATAATAACGTGGAATACGGGGGATGCATGATGATAAAGCAAAAACTAGATTTTTTTTCTCAATGATGTCGCCCGAGGCCAGAGGCCAGAGGTATCAACTGCGGAAGACAGACAGAGAGTATTCACGCTGATCTAAGTATTAATTACTGACTTGTATTTTATGTCTATTTAGCAAGTTAACGGTTAATTTGTTTTTTAGGGACCAAATGTTTTGGCTCGAGATCATTACGCCATTAGACTAAAATGCTTGTAAGAGATCTATCTGAGATAATTTTTTCCCTTTTATGAATTCAATGATACCCGTTAAGTGTGTAGAGAAACATAGCACCCCTGATTGTTCCCTGCAGAAGTGCTTTCGATGATACACATAGCTTTATTTCGTTTTCGTGACTAGCGGGGATAAGAATTTAAGAAATGTTGTTTGATCAGCCGTTTTTCTTTTTTTTTTATATATATAAAAGCTACTCGAAATTTTGGCGTCTTTCATTTGTTATTTTCATAACAATATTTTATTCCTACATTCACAACGACGAATCATGCATATTATGGTGACAGTGGTAATTTTTGATTCTAAAACACACGCCTGGTAGTTTAAAATAGTTTTCTGATTGGCTGTTCCCTTCAAAATTATGGGTTATTAACTAATAGCTGATAGAAAATGTTTTAAACAACAAACATATGAAATACATATATATGAACTGCGGTTATGAAACGTATATGTGCACGATCCTTCGCAGTAAAGCACTATTTAAGCAATAGTGAAAATCAGACCGAAAAAAATTCAGGCCTGTACGGGATTCGAACCACTGACCTCTGCGATACTAGTGCAGCGCTCTACCAATTGAGCTAACAAGCCAACTGGGAGCAGGCCATCAAATTAATTCGACATAAACCCGTAGATGATAAATCAAACAACAAACATATGAAATACATATATATGAACTGCGGTTATGAAACGTATATGTGCACGATCCTTCGCAGTAAAGCACTATTTAAGCAATAGTGAAAATCAGACCTGAAAAAAATTCAGGCCTGTACGGGATTCGAACCACTGACCTCTGCGATACTAGTGCAGCGCTCTACCAATTGAGCTAACAAGCCAACTGGGAGCAGGCCATCAAATTAATTCGACATAAACCCGTAGATGATAAATCAAACAACAAACATATGAAATACATATATATGAACTGCGGTTATGAAACGTATATGTGCACGATCCTTCGCAGTAAAGCACTATTTAAGCAATAGTGAAAATCAGACCTGAAAAAAATTCAGGCCTGTACGGGATTCGAACCACTGACCTCTGCGATACTAGTGCAGCGCTCTACCAATTGAGCTAACAAGCCAACTGGGAGCAGGCCATCAAATTAATTCGACATAAACCCGTAGATGATAAATCAAACAACAACAAACATATGAAACATATGTATGAACTGCGGTTATGAAACGTATATGTGCACGATCCTTCGCAGTAAAGCACTATTTAAGCAATAGTGAAAATCAGACCTGAAAAAAATTCAGGCCTGTACGGGATTCGAACCACTGACCTCTGCGATACTAGTGCAGCGCTCTACCAATTGAGCTAACAAGCCAACTGGGAGCAGGCCATCAAATTAATTCGACATAAACCCGTAGATGATAAATCAAACAACAACAAACATATGAAACATATGTATGAACTGCGGTTATGAAACGTATATGTGCACGATCCTTCGCAGTAAAGCACTATTTAAGCAATAGTGAAAATCAGACCTGAAAAAAATTCAGGCCTGTACGGGATTCGAACCACTGACCTCTGCGATACTAGTGCAGCGCTCTACCAATTGAGCTAACAAGCCAACTGGGAGCAGGCCATCAAATTAATTCGACATAAACCCGTAGATGATAAATCAAACAACAA